GTATGATGTTCAAAATAAACTATACAATTATTATAAAGTAATGCTTTGGGGAAAGATGGCAAATAAAATAAAGAATAATTCAAGATATTTTCAAATTATTTAGATAAATATCTAAATAAATTATGAATATGCTGCCTTTTCCAATAATTAAATTAAGACATTTAATTAAATGAAGTAAGTGATGACTTATATTTTTTCCTTTGTTAACATTTTGTATCTTTTGTGCAATTTCTCACTCTGTGTATCACTTTTTTTTCCCTAAGTAATTTAAAAATAAGTTAAAGCAAAGACATAATGATATTTCACCCCTAAATACTTCAGTATTCATGTCCTTATGAATAAAATAAATTTTCTTATATAGAAACAAAATATTTTTTTTAAATCTTTTGGGACAAATCATAAGATAGCAGGACATATCTTTAAGATCTCAAATCTTGCCCTAACAAGTGTGGCTCACTTGGCTGGCCATCATACTATGCACCAAATGGTTGCAGGTTCTATTCCTGGCCAGGACACATGCCTGGGTTGTAGGCTTAATCCCTGATAGGGGTGCATGCAGGAGGCAGTGGGTCAAAGTTTCACTTCCACATCAATGTTTCTCTCCCTCCTTTCTTCTCTCTCTAAAGAAATAATTAAAGATAATAGAGTGGCCCTCACCAGTTTGGCTCAGTGAATAGATCTTTGGCCTGTGGACTAAAGGGTCATGGGTTCGATTCCAGCCAAAGGCACATGCCCTGGTTTTGGGTTCAATCCCCAGTAGGGAGCATATAGGATTAGGCTGATCAATGATTCTGTCTCATCACTGATGTTTCTATCTCTCTCTTCCTCTCTGAAATCAATAAAAATATTTTTAAATTACTCATATTGGCTTTGCATCTTTATTTTTCTTTTCTTAATGTTTCAAAAGTGATATGAGAAATAACACTGCTGGAATCTAGTGGATTTTCTCTTCTTCATCCTCATATTGAACAGGAACAGGAAAAGCTCCAGTGTTTTGGTAAATATAAGCAAATGCACATTGTACAAGCAAATTTCAATTGTTTTTTTTTGGGGGGGGTTATTGTTGTATTCTGGGAAAAATGAATTGATAACACCTTGATACATACTGTCTATCTTTTAAAAAAATGGAACAATTTCTATTTACCTTAAATAATTTTTCATTCTGTTAATTATTTTGTGTTCTCTAATATACACATTTATTAGCATGTATAATATTAATTAGTACTTGATTTCATATCATTCATTCATCACTTTAATGCTAGAACTTTGAGAACTGAGACTTTACCATATATCTTTGTCTATATGTATGTATGTATCTATCTATCTATATACCAACCTATCACAATCCATCTATTTAAATCTATATCCAATTATATAACTATAGTTATTTCCATATCTATTTGTTTTATTATTGTGAAGGACTGAATAGATATTCATTTAAATTGGTATTGAAAACATGTATCTTGGCTATCAGTTCAAGCACTCATAACATTTTATAGACATTTTTGACCTTACTAATTTTGAAAAAAAAATAACTATGCATTTTCATTTCGCTTATAATATTGCAAATCAATTTATTTTTGTTACTCAGAATAATTTTATTCCACAGAACTGCACATAGTTGAGAACTCAGTAAATTTTTATTGATTTGTTAAACCAAATGTACTCTTGTTTTACATTCATTGGACATACTATTATGGTATTTATTTAGTTCATGTGTACATACACAAATCCCTCTATGTAGACAACAAAATGAATAAGGGAATGAGCCTACTGATAGGTCAAAAAATATGGCCAGCTTTTGGCATTTTATACTGTCAGACACTTATTGGATACTGGATTAAATATCAACATGATGAGCAACCGACCACAAGGGTGATCTAATTTAATCTATTTCACATTTCAGAGGCACCTCACAGGGAAGGGCCTGTTGGAGGACAGGACACCTACCCAGCAAATTGATCCTTTAAAGAGAGAGTTACAGTGCTTATGGCTCATATTGGCTTTCATTTTTTCATATAGCACAGACCAGAAGAGAATTTTATTTTCAAAGATTGCAAGTTATAAAAGGTTTTAAAATGTAAGAACAATTCCAAACAGGATATTGTTTCCAGCAATGAACACATAAAATAATGTATCAGAGTTCAAATACTGTTTCAGTGTAAGTCCACATATGTCATAGACTACCTACTATGTGTAACTCACTACAGCAAAGATTATTGACAGCAGTGCTAACCTTGAGGAGTTCATCTGTTAGTAGGAAAAAACTGGAGAAATTTCAAAAATAAAAGCAGCATTGAAGGAAACACAGAGTAAGAGATTTGTTCTATTTTAACCCACTACTGGTTTTGCTTTTATGAATAAACTAATGAAACAGAAATCTGACCAGGGAGATCAACAATAATTTAGTAAACATATGGAATATGAATTATGCCTCTATTCAAAACTTAATAATTAGAAAGAGAAAATTACAAGGCAACTGGATATTTAAGTTAGATAGAATAGTAAAAGGTAAGGTTCTAAAATTGAGGAATGGGATGGGGAGGAGAAGATTGTAACCAGATAAAAATAAGGACAGAAAGGTGGGTTTGAAAAACACCATGCCAAGAAACTTAAACTTAGCCCCATAGCCCAGTAGTTTACAATTTTAATACATATCAGAATCATTTGGAGGAGTTGTTAAAAGACAGTTTGGCTTCACCATCAGACTTTCAGGTTTAGAAAGAATTGATTAGGACCTAAGAATCTGCATTTCTTTAAAAATTCCCACGTGATGGTTCTGGATGACACTCTTCAGCAGAACTGCTCCTGTCAATTTAGACAGTAGGAAATGTCTGTGAAGTATTATCTGATCTAAATTTTTACAAGACCATTCTCATGGCAATGTCAAGAATGGAGTAGACAGCTGAGAGCAGGGAGACCACTTAGAAAGTTCTTAAAATAGTAAAACTGAAAGAAAAAGTAGCAAAGGGTATGCAAAGGAAACAAGAGGTGGATTATAGAGTTAGAACTAACAGGATGGAGAGAGAGATCAGTTGAGAGAGATAAGGAAGGGGGAGTCAAGGATCACTTTGAGGTTTCAAACCAGGATTCCCAAGAGAATCATAACATCATTAATGGAAATATGGAGCAGAAGTGGGGTCCAGATGGCAGGTGAAACGTGTGATTGGGGTAGAGGACTCTTTCATCATCTTACAACACTTCTCTTGCCTTTATTGTAGGTGTTTATACAGCAGATCATTGTTTCTTGTGTTGTCTAGTCTGTGCAACAAAAGCACTTCTGTGTATCTATTTTTCATATTATGAGTTCAGTTGGGCATTCAAGATCCTAAAGTTAGAGAAAAATTCAATGGAAATGAAAATGAAGTGTGTAGTGTATTTTAAAAAATATATATTTTATTGATTTTTTACAGAGAGGAAGGGAGAGAGATAGAGAGCCAGAAACGTTGATAGAGAGAGAAACATTGACCAGCCACCTCCTGCAACACCCCCTACTGGGGATGTGCCTGCAACCAACATACATGCCCTTGACCGAATTGAATCGGGACCTTTCAGTCTGCAGACCGATGCTCTACCACTGAGCCAAACCAGTTTCGGCGTGTGTAGTGTATTTTAATATGCATTTTCTTTCTCAAGAATAATATCACACAGAATAATTGTCTATTTGATTAAATTCTTGCAGAGACTGTAGGGGGGATTAAACACAGTTTGTGTATTGCTCTTTCAAGTGAATTTCTTAGAATTAAAAAAAAAGGTTAGAGCAATATTTTTTAGTGATATTGAGTTCTATTTTTACCCCTGTAGAAGAGGTCTCATGAAAACACACAATATGCTGTACACATATCAGTTTTACATACAACTATTTTGGCATTCATCTGCATTTTTATGTATAATCATATATTATGATGGCTTATCATTCTTGTCATGGATGTGAAAATAACATTTCATTTGTGAAGAATGCTTTCATTTACATAGTATTTTTATAAACATTATAAACCTTAAACAAGAAAAAGTGTGGCAATAAATTCACAGAAAAAATCACAGGAAAATTTTGTGTTTTTTCATGTTTAAAGAGTTAAGAACAGGGGGAAAAAATTAAGTATAGATAGTTTCCCTGGTCTTTAAACCCCACTTTCCAGAGATTTTGTTGACATGCTTTCAGGTACTCCTTCAATAATCATAACAAGTAGAAATCTATGTTTAGATAATACAAAGTTACATTGATTCACACTTTGTTGTTCTTGATTTTGATCTTTCCTGCCTTTGAGAGTGCAGCCTCTGGGAGTGGGGCAAATTTGTGTACAAATTTTAAGGCTGGATAAGATTGAGAGGATGTGCTTCTGTGAAACAATTGTATTGAACAGTTGTTAACATGGACATCTACTAAATTCAAAGAAAATTTAAGTTGTTTTAGCAATTAAAAGAGCCTCAAGTATGGACTTAAGTGAGATTATCTTCATAGCCTATTTATTATTAATACTGACTAAACTCAAAATTAGAGAAATCTTCTGGCCTAACAGATGCTACCTAATTATAGCATTTATTGCTTACTTATTGTTATTTCCATAAAACTTCAAATTCTCAGGGAGTGGCATTTTGCTTTTTATATGGCTATAGCAAAACATATAATCTTGCATGATTCATTCAGCTCAATATCCTTTCTTTGGATGCTTTACCAAAAAACTATAAATAGGTTCCATTATATACCCTAGACTCTTAGTAGTCACACTATGACCCTTTCCTTTCATATGTATCAAACAGACAATATCTGAAATTAGGGAGGGAAAGAATGATTTTAGAGTATTTAGTGTGAGCTATCTCTGGAAGGAGGCATTCATTGATTCATTCTTTATTTCAACAAATATTTAAGGGCAACTTGCTATAGCTAGGCATTGGTGGGGCTTGAATGAAGCATTTGGTAAAATCTCTATGTATAAAATCCTAATATGCAAATAGACCAAACAGCAGAATAACCAAACAACTGGTCGCTATGATGTGTGCTGACCACCAGGGGGTGCGTTCGGAACATGATGGGAGTTGGCAGCAGGTGGCAGAGAATGGAACATGGTGGGTGTTGGCCACAGTGGGATGGTGGAGCAGGTGGGTGGGGGCACTAGACCAAAGCAGGGTGCTGGCCTCTGTCATTGGGGAAAGCCTCTGGTGGTTACTAAAATTTTTTTGCTCCAACATGCCATGGTCCTGCTCAGAGCTCACACCTGCTAAAGGTGCCAGCCCCACTCACACCTGCTGCTGGTGCCTGGCACTGCCTGATTGCCCCTCAGGGATTCTCCACTTCCCCTTGCTCCTGAGGGGCAATTGGGGAAGCAACTTACAGCTTGCACCTGCTGCTGGAGCTGACCCCAATTGCTCTATGCTGTCAGCAGGTGTGAGTGGAGCCAGCGGGAGTGGGGCCAGCACCATGCGAGTGACAGCGGAGGGGGCAGGGCTGCAGGGTACCAGGGCTGTGGTGGGAGGGGCAGGGTGGGGGCATGGGGGATGGGCTGAGACCCAACTCTATGCATCTGCAGCCTTGCAGCTCATGGTTGCTTTCAAAGTGCACGTATTTGTGCACTGGGCCCCTAGTTACCGCATATCACATTAAGCAGGGTTCCCTTCTTTTATACTAAACTTACAGCTTACCTTTTCCTCACTGTGTTGTCATGAGCAAGATGGGACATTTGTCTCAAAACTTACTTTATTTTTTCAATCTGATATTCATGGGTATTTTCAAAGCTAAACAAGACAGTGTTGTGGGTTCCTTTTAGCAATCATCCATTAAGGTGTTTTAAAATATTTCTTCTTTTATTACTCTCTAGTCCTCAAAGGCAAGTCCTTGTCTTTGTATTTTTTTATTTTATATATATATAGTTTCATATCTTATCTTTTTATTTACCATGAAGAGTCACAGTAGCCTATACAGAGATTTACTTGTGTGCCATGCAATTATAAGAAATAGATATTTATTGTAAATTTATAAAGCCTGTGCATTTTCTTTCTTTATTTTCATTACTGTGCCATGAAATACCCAACCATATATTTTTTTTATTCCATAAGGTAGGGAATACTGAATAATTCAAGAGCTTAGAAACGTGAGAACTTCATTCAGTCGAGTAAGTTGTAGTCCCTGATCTCTACTCTAATATGCTGCCAGTTATTGCAAGTCATAATAGCACAATACAGGGCCCACAATGACTATCACTCACTCAGTTGTTTCCTAGAATGGCTTCTGGGTATGAAGTAAACCATATACATCACCATCCTCATAATGAGATCTTACTGCTGGATAAACAAGCTCCCCACAGGCTCTACCTGCTGATAGGACCCATGGAACCAAATATTTAACACTTCACAGAAGCTCCTCCCTGCCCTTCATCAATATTTCATGTATCACTTTTAAAAGAAAAATTGATGCAAAGAAGTAGAAAATTGAGCTACCGACTCCTGGGTCCCTGGCTTAGTAACAAAGACTCAATTCAATTTCTGGGTTCTGTGAGAAAACAGAAGTTTCGAAGTTCCCAAGAAGATTATGGAAATCTGAGGGCCTTGGTTCTGTGGTGGTGTGTGGCTGCCAGGTGCCAGCGAACTCCTGTTGGCCTTCAAAATCCCTGTGTAGCTGCTGCCACGTTCTACTGCCCTTGCCATGTTCCTCACTCAGTCTGAGTACAACAGGGGTGTGAATACTTTTTTCCTCTGAAGGAAGATTATTTCAAGTGGAATATGCCATTGAGGCTACCAAGCTTGGTTCTACAGCTATTGGGATCCAGACATGGGGTGTTCCTAGCTGTGGAGAAGAGAATTACCTTCTCACTCATGGAGCAAAGCAGCATTGAGAAAATTGTAGAGACTGATGCTCACATAGGTTGTGCCATGAGTGGGCTAATTGCTCTTGCTAAGACTTTAATTGATAAAGCCAGAGAGGAGACACAGAACCAATGGTTCACCTATAATGAGACAATGGTGGTAGAGAGTATGACCCAGGCTGTGTCTAATATGGCTCTACAGTTTAGAAAGGAAGATGCAGATCTAGGTGCCATGTCTCTTCCCTTGGAGTAGCACTGTTATTTGGAGGAGTTGACGAGAAAGGTCCTCAGCTATTTCATATGGACTAATCTTGGTCCTTTGTACAGTGTGATGTTAGCTTCAGAGGATGCTCAGAGATCCTTGCAAGAAGTTTATCACAAGTCTATGACTGTGAAATAAGACATCAAATCCTCACTCATCATCATCAAACAAGTAATGGAGGAGACACTGAATGCAACTAACATAGAGCTAGCCACCATCCAGCCTGGCCAGAATTTTAGCATGTTCAAACAAGGAAACACTTGAAGAGGTCATTAAGGACATTTAAGGAAGTATGGTCTTCAGAGCTTTTCTGGGACAATTTCAATTCTGGTTGCCCTAAACCTTTATGTCCAACTTCGAGTCCTTGGAAAATCTGCAGCATATGTGTTTTTATGATGTCTGTACATAAAGGCAGTTCCAGAATAAAGAAAAATAAAAAAAAGATTGTGGAAATATAAATTCTTATTCTATCTGACAAATTAACACATGACCTTTGGTGAAACCAGTCTGCCCAAGAAAATGACAGAAACAAAGTCAGTGCTTGTTCATTTGCTTGAAATATTCACTAAAAATATTGGGTCAGCTGAAACCAGTTTGGCTCAGTGGATAGAGCATTGGCCTGCAGACTGAAAGGTCCTGGGTTCCATTCCGGTCAAGGGCATGTACCTTGGTTGCGGGCATATCCCCAGTAGTGGGTGTGCAAGAGGCAGCTGATTGATGACTCTCTCTCATCAATGTTTCTAACTCTCTATCCCTTTCTCTTCCTCTCTGTAAAAAAAAATAAATAAATAAAAAATATATTGGGTCAGTCATAGAAAGATAAGTATTACATTATCTCACTCATATGCATAATCTAATAAACAATATAAAATAATGAACAAAAATATATCCAGAAAGACAGAAACATAGAACAGACTGTTGAACCTCAGAGGGAAGGCAGGGGGATGGTGGGTGGGAAGAGATCAACCAATGAACTTGTATGCATATATGCATAGCCCATGGACAAAGACAATGGGGTGATGGGCAGGGACCAGCTGGAAGAGGTCAATGGGATAAAAGGGGACACATGTGTTACTTTCAACAATAAAGATTAAAAAACATTTAGTGATATAACAGGTGAAAAATTTTAGCAACAAAATCAATTTGATCTCCATAAAAACTTGCTTGTACATTCTCCAAAAGGAGATAAACTATGCACATTCAAAACTTAATTCTATAGTATAGATTCTCTTTGTGGCTATAACAAATGCAGTAAAATGACTATTAACTTGAATGCCTAGATATTTGACCAGATTATAATATATATACAAATTACTTTCTCTGATATATAAGTATAATCGATACTCCATTCCACTTATATATTGTGGAAAGGGCTTAATACAGCTGTATTGTTCCTCCAGAGTTTTACTTTTCTAGTCTATATACAGTATATAAAACCCCAATATGCAAATAGACTTGAACAACTGAACAAGCAGTTGCTATGGCGTGTGCTGACTACCAAAGGGCATGCACGGGACATGGAGGGCATCAGCAGCAGGTGGCAGAGTGCTGAACATGGTGGGTGTAGGCCACAGTGGGATGGTAGAGCAGGTGAGTAGGGGCACCAGACCAAGACAGGACGCTGGTTGCTGTCATCTGGGTAAGCTTCTGGTGTTTACTGAAAGTTCTTTGCTCCTGCGTGCCATGGACCCACCCAGCATTTGTCCTGCTGCCTGCTCTGGCCCTGCTGGCACCCACTGCCAGTGCCTGGTGCTGGTTCTGAACACTTCGCACCATCAACAAGTTTGAGAGAAGAGTGACTGCTGGCTGACCCCTGAGGGCTTCTCCACCTCCCCCTGTTCCTGAGGAGTGATAGTTGCAGCAGCTGCCATTTGCATCCATTGACAGGACTGGTTCCACTTGCACCTGCTGCTAGCCTTGGGCCAAATCACTCTGCACCATCAGCAGGTGAGAGTGGGGCCAGTACCATCAGTGCATGGGAGAAGGGCTGGTGGGAGCAGGGCTGCTAGCAGAGAGGCTGGGAGGGGGTATGGAGGATGTGTTGAGACCTACCCCTGTGCCCATTGCAGCCTTGTGGCCCACAGTTCCTTTCAAGGTGCACAAATTCATGCACTGGGCCCCTAGCTGATTATTATAAAACTAGAGGCACAGTGTGGGATATCATGTGGTCCCACCCACCTGTACACACCCCATCCACCCACCCTCTGCACTCCCAGCTGTGCTCACAGCCAGGCTCACAGCTTAGCCTTCCTAACCATGCCCTATTCCGCCCGCTGCTCGGCCAGGGTCACAACCCCACCAACCCACCTGCTATCCCACCTGCCCACCGGCCTCCACCCTTGCTGTGATTGGAGCCTGTGGGTGGTGGGGGAGGCTGAAAGGTGCTATATGAACCCCATGGTGACTGGTCATTTGGTTGCTTTGGTTGTGATGCCTCTTGGCCTTTTATTATTACGATGTAATTAAAAAGTGCTAAATTAATTAACAAAATAAAAATATCAACAACCCAAAATAAATTTAACACACTTTGGAGTCAATCCAACCTTATATATAATTTGTATATCTAACATTAATAGATAAGTCACATATCTGAAAAAAAAAACATTGCATTGTAGTTAATTTGTAATTGAAGGCCTTTGATTTACAAGCAAATATGAATTCATGATTATTTAAACTCCTCTAGATAATTTAAAAGTTTTAAGCTAAGACTCCATTAAATACACTGTAAACAAAAAGTATAGACAATAGAGAAAAACAATGAAACCAAAAGTTAGTTCTTTGAAAAGATCAATAAAATCGATAATACTCTAGCAAGCCTAACCAAGAAATGAAATTTGATGAAAACAACAGTGTAATAATTATCTAAACTAGTTTATATTTTATAGATAGGTACATGTACAATAACTGAGGATAGAGCTGCTGAGAACAGTACATTTTATCAATGCTTAGGTCAATGTTGTATGCCATAATTATATTTGTTTTTAAAATTATAAATCTATGTAAAATAAATTTTATATTCACACACTTTTAGGGGTCTATTACTGAGTATTTACTGGAACCAAAACAAAAGAAAGTAAGATACCCTAAGTCTTGTTTTCCCCTTGTCCACTTCTAAGAATGCTCACTTAGAGAAGAAACTACAACCTTCTTCACTCTACATCACATATGGCTTTGCAACTGACATAGAACAGCCTCATCAATCTTCTCCCAGTTTGAGTTCCCCAACGTTTCACTACCAGAAAAGTGTGTCAGTCACAAAACATTCAGGTATACAAAAATACTAACAGATATTCCAGAGACTGTGGGGAGAATATGCCCTCCCCACACACACAAAAAAAAAATCACAAAAGGAGAAAATTCTGATTCTTGCTTCTATAAAAATCAAAATAAGCTCAGGGGAAAGGCATATAATACATTTGTGAATATACTATAATTTGGAGGCAATTTGTGTTGAAAATGTCAGCATAAAACAGAATAATATACTAAAAGCCCTAAAATACCACGATCAAAGAATAAAAAGGACATTTTATTATTTTCACGAAAGTATATAAAGAAGTTATAAAGTGTATGTATACAAGCATCTAAAGTAAACTTAACCTATACATAAGTAATTCATTTAAAATATTTTAGAGAATCTGAGCAGTGTATTTCCTACTCTCTAATTAGGAGGTCAGAATATATCAGAACAGTATTAATTTGGACATCTAGTCTAATAGTGACAGTTGGATGTGATAAGGAGACTTAATGCCTTCTCACTTTATGTAAAAACCCAAACTTGACTTATCCCTGTCATCTAAGCCTATGATTTGACTAGGGTAATTGTACTTTCAAACTGCATACAAGTTAAAAAATCAAGGAGGGGGATGATGGGTGAGAAGAGGCCAACCAAAGAACTTGTATAGATATACGCATAACCCATGGGCACAGACAATAGGGTTGAGGGTTGTGAAGGTCTGGGGTGGGGAGTGTGGGCTGGTTATATGACCTCAATGGGAGAGAGGGGATATATGTAATAATTTCAACAATAAAGCTTTAAGAAAACCAAGGAGCCTTAATTCTTAATTTGATGTCTATATCCTAGAATGTAGCAAAAGGATGAATGATTAAATATTGTACAATATGGAAACCTGGTCTCCCTTCTACATAGTCTTCTTACCTACACTCTGGTCAATTAGGTAATTACGTTAGGATGCGGTTCACTCACCCTTATTTATGCCACCAAAGTGTATGCAATTACAGCTGTATTCTCAGTTAGCTCTTGAAACTTTATGTCAGTTTTAACCATTTACTCTTTATTTCTCTGTTTCCTCTAACATATAATAAAATAAATTACCCCCATAAATTAAATTCCAATTAGAATGAATTGGGACAAAGAAGTGGAAAATAACAAGCCATTGTAATAATCACAAATGAAACTTGTGGGTTGCACAGGTGCAATAAGTGAAAGGGATTAAGAGGTACAAGCTTCTAGTTATAAAATGAATAAGTCATTGGGATGTAATGTACAGCACAGGGATTATCTATCTATACTATTAAGGGTAATATGCTAATTAGACTGACATCTTCCAGATATCCATCTGGACGTCCTTCTGGGCAAAGCCACAGTGGTGGGGGACGAGGCAGAGGTGGTTACAAGTGATCAGGCCTGCAGGGGAGGGCAGTTAGGGGTGACCAGGCTGACAGTGGAGGGCAGTTATGAGTGATCAGGATGGCAGTTAGAGGTGGCTAGGGGCTATACAGCAGGCAGACAGAGGCAGTTAGGGGTGATCCGGAAGGCATGTAGAGAGGTTAGGGGTGATCAGGCAGGCAAACAGAGATGGTTAGGGGCAATAAGGCAGGCAGGGGAGCAGTCAGGGGCATTAGGAAGGCAGGCAGAGTGGTTAGGGACAATCAGACAAGCAAGAGATTAGGAGCCAGCGGTCCCTGATCGCAAGAGAGATTAGGCCTAAACCAGTAGTTGGACATCCCCCAAGGGATCCTGGATTGGAGAGGGTACAAGCCAGACTGAGGGAACCCCTCCAACCCTGTGCACAGATTTCTTGCACTGGGCCTCTAGTAGTCAGTAATATTATAATAACTTTGTATGCTGACTCACTTTATTGTGATGATCATTTTGTAATGTATATAAATGTTGAATCACTATGTTCTACACCTGAAACTAATATAACATTGCATGTCAACCGTATTTTCATAAAAAATGCATGCTCTTTACTCCCAGTCTGTGAATTATTTTCATGGAAAACAAACCACTATATAGTATCTTCCTCTCCCTTTATTTTTGTTTTTATATGATGTGAACTGTGATGATGATACCCTTTTAACTTAACATCTGTTTCAGTTTTTGCTATTATCTGTGTTGCTGTATCCATGTATCAAATATGAAATTCTCCAAATGGAATGTCCCATAATCAGCATGGCAAGGGTTAATTTAAAACAATCTTAGCAATACAGTGATATTCAATTTTAATTACAACTTAGAACATGCATTGCACCTCATCATTTATTAATCAATATTTTACTGGATCCCCTCATTAGAATTCCTGTAATGAGAAAGGCAACATGCAAAATTATCCATGATAACATGTGTAGGTTATAGCTTATAAGAAGACATGACCTCAATTTACTGTTTATTTCCCACAGTAACACAGGCAATCTTAAGCATTTGACTATATTTTGATATATAAATCATATGAGAATTTTCACTAGTAACATAATCCTGAAATCTGATTTCCTAATTATAAATTTACCTAGATTACCTAGAATCAATTACATTTAAAATCATGATCAATCATATATATATAATTATATAATTTCTGGAATATAGATTACTTTAACTTAGCCAAAGAGTGGCTTAAAAATATAACATTTATTTTATAGTATAGCAAATATTTTATACTGTTTCTACCTTACATTTGAATATGAAAAATCATAATGTGGCCTTTATTAAAAAAACAACAACACTTTACTTTCAATCCAAATTAAAATGTACTGATTACTCAGGATAGAAACAGTAGATATAATTTTTAAGTGAGTTCAGAGAGTGGGATATCTTTTGTAAAATGAAACTTCAAACAGAATTCACTATTGCAAGTGGATTTGAGCTGTACTTTTTGTTAGAAACAGAAAAGGCTTTTGCTATAAACTCCTTGAAGAGCTGCCAAATTAGGGTCATAGAAGTCTGAGCCTCGAGCTGATAACAAAAGAAATCCAATTTGAGCCTGACAAAGAGAAGCTGAAGCCTAATGTGTGTAAATGTTATGTGGTGGGTGGTGGTAGAGGGAAGAAGCGAATTATTTGAAATTTACCATCAGTATATTGCCTGTCGTGTTATGACATGAAATAACTCTTTAGTGTGCATCCCTGCATTTATGAAGTCCCATAGAAGAACTTAAAAAATCACATCCGTGCCGTGATCAACCAGCAGACTGAGTTTAGTAAAAATATGTCATTTCCAGAGCTGACATTCACTTCTGCTATATCTTATAATAGCAAGGAAACCCAAAGAGCACTTCTGGAACTGGGCCCACATGTGTTTGTGTTTATTATTTCTTCTTAATATAGCTCATAAATGCTAATAGCTTCTCTGTGAGGGAATGTCATTACATTTAGAGCCCTTGATTGGAAACAGGGTGCATAGATTTAGGAACAACTTAATTTCTACAAAGAAATAACTCTGGCTTTGTTATATTTGATTAATTAAGTCATGGGCAGCTGATAGTGACCCCTGGTTTATAAAAATCAAATATTAGGGGCCAACGAGGACCCCAGCTCGAGTTAGGTAAACAGCATTGTGCAAAGAGAGTTAAAACGTCAAGGATATTATAGGATTTAAACTAAGGCAACACACAGAGAAAATGAAGGTAACGTAGACTTAACTGTTGGGGTCAAGTTTTAACCTTCTCTTCTATTCCATTTGAAAAATAGCCCAAGCTGTCCTTTACCTAATTGCATCCACTGCTATTCACTAATTAAAAAACAAAAACAAAAAAAAAATGGCACAAAGAAAATTCTTAGGGTTATTGCATGCAGGTTTTCTGTCACTTGCTATAAGTCATGTGCAAATATTACAAAAAAGAGAATAGTTTCCTCTAAATCTGTTCTTCTACATAAAGTGCTATCACTGA